GCAATCAATAAATCCTGCTTTATGGAAGACCAATGAAGAATATTGAAAGTGTGGCAATGGACGATTCCCGATCTCTTGGGAGGGGGAGGCATGCTGAAATTGATGAATAGTGTGACAGATGGGGTGTGGGAAGGTGGTAATGAAGTGAGTCGAGACTTATATTCGAGATTTCAGATCCCAGATTCGAAATTCGAGATTCGATTTTCAAGACTCAAGATTCAAGATCTATGATTCAGGATTCAGCATACATTATTCAGGATTCAGCATTCAGCATTCAGGATTCAAGGTTCAGGATTCATGATTGAGCATTCAGGAAAAACCATTCAGGATTCATGATTCAGTACTCAGAATTTAGTATTTAGGATTCATGATTCAGGATTTCGGATTAGGGATTCGGGATTCCGAGTTTAGGATTCAGGATTCAAAATTTAGTATTTAGGATTCATGTTTCAGGATTACGGATTCCGAATTTAGGATTTAGGATCCAGGATTCAGGATTCTGGATTCAAGATTCAAGAGTCGATATTCGGAATTTGGGATTCAGGATTCTGGATTCAGGATTCAGGAGATTCGGGATTCAACATTCGGGATTCATGATTCAGCATCCAGGATTCAAGTTTCGGGATTCGGAAGTCAGAATTTAAGGTTCGGGATTTAAGATTCGGGATGGAGGGTTCGGGATTCAGGATTCAGGATTCAAGAAGCAGGATTCGGGATGCGTGGTTCGGGATTCAGGATTTATCAGGAGATTCGGGATTCGGCAATCGGAATTCAAGATTCAAAATTCAGAATTTCAGATTCAGAATTCAGAATACAAGATTTAAGATTCAAGATTCAGGATTCATTATACATTATTCAGGATTTAGCATTCAGTATTCAGGATTCAAGGTTCAGGATTCGGATCGTGATTCCGATTTAGGATTCAGGATTTGGTACTTGTGATTCATATTTCAGGATTTCGGATTCGGGATTCGAGATACGGAATTCGGGATTATGAATTACGGATTCCGGATTCCGGATTTAGGATTCAGGATTCAGGATCCAGGATTCTGGATTGAAGATTCAGGATTCCGGATTCAGGATTCGCGGAATTTGGGCTCAAGATTCGGGATTTAGGAGATTCGGGATTCAAAATTTCGGATTCAGAAATCAGCATCCAGGATTCAAAAATTCGGGATTCGGAATTCAGAATTCAAGGTTCGGAATTTAGGATTCGGGATGGGAGATTCGGGATTCGGGATTCAGGATTCAGGATTCGGGATGCGTGGTTCGGGATACGGCATTCGGAATTCAGGATTAAAAATTCAGAATTTAGAATTCACAATTCAGAAGTCAGGGTTCAGGATTCAGGATTCAAGATTCAGGATTCAGGATACATTATTCAGGATTCAGTATTCAGCATTCAGGATTCAAGGTTCAGGATTCATGATTGAGGATTCAGGATTCATGATTCAGGATTTAGTATTTAAGATTAGTGATTCAGGATTTCAGATTAGGGATTAGGGATTCGGGTTTTCGGATTTAGGATTCAGGCTTCAGGATTTCGAATTTAGTATTTAGGATAATATTTCAGGATTTCGAATTCGGGATTATGACTTCCGGATTTAGGATTCAAGATCCAGTATTCAGGATTCCGGATTCGGGATTCGATATTCGGAATTTGGGATTCAGGATTCATCAGAATCGGGATTCAAAATTCTGGATTCAGGATTCAGCATTCAGGATTCAGCATTCAGGATTCAAGGTTCAGGATTCATGATTGAGCATTCAGGAAAAAGGATTCAGGATTGAGGATACATGATTCAAGATTTACAATTTAGTATTTAGGATTCAGGGACTCGTGATTCAGGATTAAAGATTCAGGATTCAGAATTTAATATTTAGGATTCATGATTCAGGATTCGAGATACGGGATTCGTGGTCAGGAATTACGGATTCGGGATTTAGGATTCAGGATTCAAGATTCTGGATTCGGGATTAAAAATTCCGGATTCAGGATTCAGGATCCAGGATTTAAGATTTAGGATTCGGAAATCAGGATTCAAGATTCGGGATTCGGAATTCAGGATTCGGGATGGGGGTTCGGGATTCGCGATTCAGGATTTAGGATTCGGGATTCATGGTTCAAGAAGCAGGATTCAGGATTCGGGATTCGGGATGCGTGGCTCGGGATTCGGGATTCAGGATTCATCAGCAGATTTGGGATTCGGCATTCAGGATTCCAGATTCAGAGTTCAGGGCTCAGAATTCAGGAATCAGGATTCAAAATTCAAAATTCAGGATTCAAAACTCAGAACTTAGGATTCAAGAGTCGGAACTCAGGATTTAGGATTCAGGATCTAGGATTTAAGGTTCAAAACCTTGAAATTTTTAGACGCGAAGCCTTTAGGTTTAGGGTTTGAAGAAAAAACACGCAACGAGTAACGATTTGTTAGCGATAAATTCTAAAATAAAAATATTTGTATATTCGAGGTTTTAGTTCCAAAATTTCTAGAAGCTAAGTTTCAAAGATTAAAGGTTTCTAGATACAAAGCTAGGGCATCGAAAATGTGGATGCATTTGGACCAATGGATCGACAAGGGAAGATTCATTATTCAGAATTTAGTATTTAGGGTAGGATGTTTTAGGATTTCGGGATTCGAGATACCAGATTCGGGATTAGGAATTACGGATTCCGGATTTAGGATTCAGGATCCAGGATTCAAGATTCAGGATTCTGGATTCAAGATTCGGCATTCCGATTCAGGATTCCGATTCAGGATTCCGATTCAGGATTCCGATTCAGGATTCCGATTCAGCATTCCGATTCAGCATTCCATATTCAGCATCCAGAATTCAAGATTCGAGATTCGGAATTCAGGATTCAAGATTCTGGATTTAGGATTCGGAATGGGGGGTTCGGGATTCGGGATTCAACATTCAGGATTCTGGATTCAAGATTCGGCATTCCAATTCAGGATTCCGATTCAGGATTCCGATTCAGCATTCCGATTCAGCATTCCATATTCAGCATCCAGAATTCAAGATTCGAGATTCGGAATTCAGGATTCAAGATTCGGGCTTAGGATTCGGAATGGGGGGTTCGGGATTCGGAATTCAAGATTCGGAATGCGTGGTTCGGAGTTCGGGATTCAGGATTCATCAGGAGATTCGGCATTGTGCATTCGGAGTTCAGGATTCAAAATTAAGAATTTGGTATTCAGAATTTAGGAGTCAGGGTTCAGGATTCAGGATTCAAGAATCAGGGCACAGGATTCCAAATTCAGAAATTAGGATTCAGAATTCAGGAGTCAGGGTCAGGGATTCAAGATTCAGGGTTCAGGATCCAGAATTCGGGATTAAGGATTCAAAATTCTTAGGATTTAGGATACAAGATTCGGAACTCAGGATTTAGGATTCAGGATCCAGGATCCAAGATTCGGGTTTCGGAATTCAGAATTCTAGATTCAGGATTTAGGATTAGGGATGGGGGTTTCAAGAAGCAGGATTCAGGATTCGGGATGCGTGGTTCGGGATTCAGAATTCATCAGGAGATTTGGGATTCGGCATTCGGAATTCAGGATTCAAAATTCAGAAATTAAAATTCAGAATTCTGGAGTCAGGGTTCAGGATTCAAGATTCAGGGTTCAGGATCTAGAATTCGGGTTTAAGGATTCAAAACTCAGAATTTAGGATTTAGGATTCAAGATTCGGAACTCAGGATTTAGGATTCAGGATCCAGGATTCAAGGTGCAAAACCTTGAAATTGTTGAACGCGAAGCCTTTAGGTGCAGGATTTCTAGAAAAACACGCAGCGAGTAGCCATTTCTTAGCAATATGTAATTTCTAAAATAAAAATATTTTTATATTCCAGGTTTTTAGTTCCAAAATTTCTAGAATGTAAGTCACAGGTTCAAGGTTTCTAGATACAAAGCTAGGGCATCCAAAATGTGTGGATTATACTGATTATAGGTTTCTGTCTCCAAAATTCTCAACATTTAGAATATAAGATTAATCTGCTCATGACCTTGAGGTCACTGAAATTTGAAATTCAAAATTTAAGGTTTCGAGATTCGAGATTTAAGATTCGACATTCGAAATGTAAGGTTTGAGATTCGAAGTTAGGAGTTTGGGGTTTAAGATCCGAAGTTTGACACTAAAGATTCGAGGTTCGAGATTTCTGATTCGAGATTTAAGATTCGACATTCGAGGTGCAAGGTTCGAGGTTAGAGATACGAGGTTTGAGGTTCAAAGTTCGAGATTCGAGGTTGGAGGTTTGAGGTTCGAAGTTCGAGATTTGGAGTTTAAGATCTGCAGAGACATTCGAGATTTGAAATTAGAGATTCTAGATTCAAGGCGTCTTTTGAGATTTGAAACTCGAGATACTAGTTCGTGGTTCGAAGTTTGCGTTTCGAGATTCGAGGTCCGAGATTCGACGTTCGAGGTTCGAAGTTCTGGGTTCAAGGTTTGAGGTTTGACATTCGATATTCGAGATTCCAGATTTGAGGTTCGACATTCGAGATTCTTTTGGAAGCAAGTAGGAATAGAAGGGCTCTTGGGTCTTAGGCATGCGATCTTGGGTGTTGGGTCTTAGGTCGAGACCTGTAAAAGCCTCAAATGTCTCAAGAGTGAAATATAAAAACGCTCCAAAGGCTTCATGGAGATAGGATCCACAAGGCCCTCTAAAATTGAAAATTCTAAGAGCTACAATACTCTCAAAATTCAAACGCCTCGAAGTCAGCATTTTTACCCCCCCCCCCCCCCAATTTAAAAATCTCAATATTTCCAAATTCCCAGAGTTTAGAATTGCCAAAACTTCAACAAAAATCCAAAAATTAAAATGTCCCAGTTTCAAAATCTAAATTTCAAAAACTCCAAAACCACAATTTTTTTAGATTCCTAAATTCTCAACATTTCCAAAACACAAATTTTCCAAAGGTTCATACATTCTACAATTTCAAACTTACAAGATTTTAAATTCTTAAATATCCAATAAGTATTTCAAAAAGCCTAACATTTAAAACTCCCAAAAATCCCATAATCTCAAACTCCCAAAATCCAAAAAGGTCAAAATTGCAAAATCTCAAAGTTTAAAATATTCCCAATCTAAGATTCACAAAACTTCAGCTTGTACAACGGCGCAGTTCCGAACTAGGAAACATTTCATCGAAACGAATTTGAGCAAAGATAGTATTCGCGAGGACCTTATAGGCGTAAGCGTGCAGATCTCCAAATTTCTTCATGACGTGCGGATTAAGGACGATTCGGTTCACCTCAAGAAAGTTGTTCATTCTTGTGCTCAGCTCTTTGTCCGTCGACTTGTAGACTCCGTAGAAAGTGTCACATTTGATATTCACTTCCGACTTAGTAATTTTGAGTAGGCCGTTTACACTCACCTTTCCCGCCATGCTTAGATCGGCACGGTAACCCACTGGAAAATTTGCGAGGTTGAGATCTAATCCCGCGGTTCGACTTACCTATCATGTAGTCTGATCTGCCTTCGCTGCTGTAGTCGAATCCGTCGATGATTGCGTCGATGTACTTGTAGTCTGCCGAGTACCTCACAGCTGGACCGCCGCACTTAATTTTGAGGGTAAATTCTCCATTCCATGGCACTAAAAGGATGATAAAGTAATGGAATCTCGGTTAGGTGCCAAAGTGT